CATCTTCAGAAAAGACATATTTTTTTTTTTGCTTTTGTTCAGAAATTGTAGCAAGGACATGTAGGGGGCACAGGTCACCTTAATTTAGTTCATGTTTGAACTGGATTGAAGCTGGCTTCTGCCTTTGTGGTGACTTTCCATTCTTTCTCCGAGTGTGTACCTATTTAAGTTCCAAACATAATGTCTGGGAGATTTTTAACAGCTTCACTGCAGTGAAATTCACAAAACTTAATATTGACCCAATTCAAGTTTGCAACTGAATGTGTTTTAATACATTTGGGGAGTTGTAAACTATCACCAGGACCCAGTTTGAAACCATTTTTAACCCCAAACCTTCAAATTACATTTGTGCTCCTTTGAGGTGAGCCCAGGCTAAGACCTGGGATCTTTACCAGGGTGTTCTCCTGCAGTCACTGAACATAATGGTTATGCTATGAACCAGAAAGTTGATGGACACTCCTCTCAGCCTCACATGCCCTCAGTGTCTTCCTGCATCAGCTATTTCACTGAGGATATAAAACTGGAAAATGGCTTAAAAGGAAAAAATGGTTCATCAGATTTATCTTTTCTTCTTGAAACATTAGTCTATCGCATCCTTAGCACCTCCATCAGCACTAAATGCTGTCCAATGTGAACCTTTTATATTTTAAATATAAAATATCATCTTTTCTAGATGACTAGGAGTATTTTTCTGAAACAATCTAATGTACTACACTAAAACCCAGTTTTATGTGCTTTAAAGTTGGGGTGCATTTGAGTCTGTTTGTATTTGGGGTGGAAGTAGCCTGAAGAGAGGAAGGAGGGAAGGAGCCTATCACTTGTTCTAGAAACCTCATGTTAAATATCATCACTTCCTCTATTATCTCTAAATGTTGGTGTTACCCATCTGTGAAATATCTTACTAGAAAATAGCTCCTAGAAAACAGGCCTCTCCAGGTTCTTTAAAAATGTGGGGCTCGTTAATTTCTGTCATTTTAAGTCTTCACTCTGTCAATGTTTATCAAAGGGTTCAGCTGATATTTGGGATGGAACACTTCCATTTTGAATGCCGGTTTCCTCAACAGTATTTGAATTTTGAAAACTATCTGGTAAGAATGGCAGCCATTATAAAGTCAAACAACAACAAGTGCTGAAGAGGACATGGGGAAATAGGTACACTCATACACTGCTGGTGGGACTGCAAATTGGTGCAGCCAATTTGGAAAGCAGTATGGAGATTCCTTGGAAAGCTGGGAATGGAACCACCATTTGACCCAGCTATTCCTCTTCTTGGACTATACCCAAAAGCCCTAAAAACAGCATACTACAGGGACACAGACACATCAATTTTTAGAGCAGCACAATTCACAATAGCTAGACTGTGGAACCAACCTAGATGCCCTTCAGTGGATGAATGGATAAAAAAAGTGGCATTTATACACAATGGAATATTACTCAGCACTAAAAAATAATAAGATCATGGAGTTTGCAGGGAAATGCATGGCATTAGAGCAGACTATGCTAAATGAAGTTAGCCAATCCCTAAAAAACAAATGCTGAATGTCTTCTCTGATATAAGGGGGGTGACTCAAAATGGAGTAAGGAGGAAGACCATGAGAAGAAGATTACCACTCAATAGGGAAGAGAGGTGGGAGGGAAAGGGAGGGAGAAGTGGAATTGCTCGGAAGATGGAAGGAGACCCTCATCATCATACAGAATACATGTATGATGATGTGAGTGGAAAAAAAAAGAAGTGTGTCACATTAGATTGGGTAGAGAGAAGAGATGGAAGGGGAGGGGAGGGGAAAGGGGGTGGGAAGGGAAGCAGAATAAATAGACATTATTATTGCTGTATGTATATACGTGACTGTATGACCAATATGATTCTGCAACCTGTACACTCAGAAAAATGAGAAATTATACCCCATCTGATGCAAATGTATGATATGTCAAGATCATTGTACTGTCATGCTTAACTAATAAAAAAAGAAAACTATCTGATAATTTGGGGAATCAAATGCCCTTACACATTTACAAATGTCCCCAAGAGATACAAAGCACACAGTCTCTAATAGACAACAGCTAGAACATGCTACTCTATGTAGAATCTTGGGTTCTGATATTTTCCCGGAAATCAGCAAATCATTAAAACTGAGAAGCTATTCAACAGTCCTCTCTCAGTCCCCATCACTGGGCTTATCATCCCCAGGTTCTGAAGTCCCTTGGAGGTGCCTCTGCCACATGGCTTAACTTCTGGTGTGGGCCTGGACCATATGCTTGGCCTCCCTCTGAGAGGCAGAGGGAGTCCTGGTCACTGGTGTCTTGCTGGGGTGGAGGCTCCTCCTCTTCCTGTGGAAGTTGTTTCTAAGGCTGAGGTGCCTCAAAGACAATGAAATCACTGTTCCAATAGCCTGCAGTGGCCCTTTTCTATCTGATTGCCTGAAGCCTGACCTTGGGGAACTCCCTCCCTGCTTTGCTCACACAAGGGGCACAGGGTTCTTCAAAAGGGGGCATTTTGAGAAATATGACTGGATTGAGAAGGGCAGGAACTGATTACCATCCTCTCCCCTCCCATGTGGTCTCTGTTTCTAAGACCCTTACCACCATGCTGCTCTTGGTGTGCAGCAGGACCAAGTCCTAGTACTCCTGACCCTGCAGCCACAAGGGGGAGCTGTGACCCTGTAGAGATCTAGCAAACTCTGAGCAGGGCCTGAGAGAGTGCTCTGGATGGGAGAGGGTTAAGAGGAAGTTTGGGTTCATACATCTGGGAAAATATGGTCTGCAGGAGCTGAGGTCAGTGCTGTGGTGTGGGCTGTTATGGGCCCAGCTATGCCCTTTGCAGTGAAGAGCAGGTGTTGCTGTGTCAGCCAACAGCCTGGACTGTCAGATGGTTGCAAGGGAGCAGCCTGGGACCCGAAGGAGGAGGGTTTCAGCTGAGGAGGTCTGGAGACTCAGGCAGGTGCAGATGGGGGACCTGTGCCTGAGGGAAGTTAGAGAGGTTTGGGAACCAGTCTCAGCTCAGTTCAGCCCTATCCAACCCAGCCCTGTGGCAATGATCTTGAAAGGCCAGTGTTCCCTTACTCCAGATACCAGGAAATTGAACTAGAAATGGTGTTCCTCTTCTTCATTTACCGGGTGGTCCTTTGTGATCTTAGAACAGGCAGTTCTAGTAATGGCAGGTCATTTCCTTTCTGGATAAGAAAGGGTTCCTTAAAATAGCAGCAATCTCTCCCCTCTGAACCCTACTTCTCACCCCTGTCTCCACCTCGAAAGACCCATGAAATCTAGAATTGTCCAACTGCCAAAACACCAGATAATTCCAAGTCATCTAAAGATAGAACAAGTTGGTTCTAAGCTCCATCCATCATGAAGATCAGAGCTGGGACTTTTCACTTTGTCTCAAGGCAGGTGTTTCATTTAAAAAAAAATTCTGGAACTTCCCTCTCTTCTTTGTAATCTAAGAATGCAACAAAGTTATATTCTATGGTGGTGGCTCTAATGGTCCTGCAGGAGAAGGGAGCTTCCAAATGTTTCTCTATGGTGCCATGTTTATTCAACCACATGCCTGAAATGAACGTCCAGGAAAACTGTTGAACAGGAAAACAGATCCCACTTGTGAAGGTTGATCTTGCAGTTCACCTTGAGATGAGCAAAGGAATCCATTAAGAAGGCTTATGTTTCTACAGCAAAATCAAATTTTACTAAATTTTTTGTGTTTTGAGACATTTTCAAAATCTGATAAAAGTTATTAAACACCAGAAAATGCAGAAACAAACTTTTTTTTTTTTAGTTCTGGGGATTGAACCCAGAAGCCCTTTACCACTGACTACATGACTATGTCCCCAGCACTTTATAAATATATACGTTTTAAAGATATTTTTGACAGGGTCTCATTATGCTGAGACTAGCCTCAAACTGGCCATCCTTCCTCTCCAGCCTTCCAAGTCTCTGGGCCTACAGATGTGCATCACTGCTCCCAGCCTGAACATCAGGCAACTAAATATTAAAATTAAGTAACTTTAACTCAAGGTTTGGGAATTCAGAGTTCTCCTAGATTTTTCTTACTCCCTCCTCTACCAATCATCTATACCTCATTTCCAATAACAAAAATAACATGACTCATAGTAATTTTCAAACTTAATAAATAATGGCTATGCATCATATTAGTGTATTGAATTTGTGGTGTTGTTTTCAGTGAACTGTAGATTAAACATTTATGATCCATAAGACAGTAGAAATGATAAATGTAAAGATTTTATGTGGCTAGATGTATTTTCAATAGGTCAATAACTTAACCTGAATACTTATAAAGACGAAGTACAAACCTGTAACAGGATGCTCCTTTGGGCTTAGATCTGAATTTCTGTAGCTGCAGGTCCAACTGCAGACAAATGATTGCATGAATTGCTGTGTATACTGATTTTCATATGTTGACTGCAAGGAAAAGGATTGTTTTCAGGGTCAGAGGCAGAGGACTCAGCAGACATCTGGGCAGAATGGACAGGATGCCTGGCCTTTGGTCCCCTGCAGATCTAGAAGCTCATGTTGAGCCCCAGTGAGGAGAGGCAGAATCTGGTGACACCAGGCTCTTCCTGGGATTCTGTGCCAAGGTGACCACACTTGATGTGACTGGGAAGGAGAGATCTTCCCTCCACCTGTTCTGCCAGTCCACCCGGAACAGCAGCCTCCTGAGTTCCTAGGGATCCAGTGGAAGGAAACCGCTGTGCTAGGTGCAGCCGTGGTCTCCTGGAAGTCACCCAGAGCAGAGGCAGTCATGCGCCTCTTCCATTCCATTTCTAGAATGGAAGAGTTGGCACACGCCTATCCCCCAGAGACGGAAAATTCAGCACAGATGTAGAAAGAGGTTTAAATATCAGACAGCAAAATCATGACCAATGTCCATAATTTGCAGTTGGGTGTCTTCTCTTCAAGCAGAGCACCACTCAGCTCTGCCTCTCTAAAGACAACATTGCAGGCAGCAGGGTTGCAGCTTAGTCCCCTCAAGGCACATCAACAGAGTGCTCCTGACAGTCATCACATTCACGCAACTTAAATGGCTGCAGCTGTTTGGGTGAGAACTCAGGGCAATCTCCTGCCCACGGCTAAAGTGGTCCAGGGGCCACTGAGCCTAAGCAGACATTGAAGGGAGCCATGATGTGAGTGGGGTCCTCCAGCATTACTGGAAAGGCAAAGGAAGGGTCCAGAAAGGAAAACCAGCCTCATTCTGACACTGTCCTGAAAAGGAGGAGAAGGGCAGAGGTGGCTCCTCCTGGGGCTCTGAGGGAGGGAGGGAGCTGCTGGTGCAGGAATGGCTGTCAGACCAGCCTGGAGGTAGCAGGCCCAGCCAGCTCACACCTCCTCCAGAAGTTCCATACTCAGCTGGGACAGGAGCAAGCTCAAGACAGGAAGAGGAGGAGACTGAGTTCATGGAGACCTTGAGAACAGGGAAAGTGTCACAGCTGTGATGTCACCAGCAAGGCCCCTGGCAGAGCTGTGGAGGCTGCAGCTGCTCTAACTCTGCAGATTGGAATCCTGAGCTGGGGCCTGGCCTGACCTGGCTGACTTACCATGGGCTCCAGGCTGCTCTGCTGTGTGGCCCTCTGTCTCCTGGGATCAGGTGAGTCCTGGGCCCATGGGACATGGTACTGTTGACCTTGCCCAGATCCAGGACTAGCTCCTGGGATTTTCCTGAGTTCTGCTGCTTTTTTTCACAGGCCCCTTGGACTCCGAAGTTTCCCAGACTCCAAAATATCTCCTTGCACAAACAGGAAAGAAGCAGTTCCTTAAATGTGAGCAAAATCTTGGTCACAATGCTATGTACTGGTATAAGCAGGACTCCAAGCAATCACTGAAGATGATGTTTAGCTTCTATAATAAGGGAATGACTGTAAATGAAACGGTTCCAAGTCGCTTCTCACCTGAATCTCCAGACAACGCTCATTTAAACCTTCATGTCAAGTCCCTGGAGCCAGAGGATTCTGCCTTGTATCTCTGTGCCAGCAGCCAAGACACAGCCCTGCAGAGTCACCAGCTGCCCGTGCACAAACCTGCCAGGCAGCCAGGAAGCTGTGGTGACAATGAGTTCCCTGTGCCTGAGGCTCTGCTCTCCATTCCTGTGGGCCCCGTGGAGTGTCAGTGTACAGCAGCCTCCAGGGCGCCTGGTGGGCAGCTGAGTTCTCCAACACAGAGCCCTGCAGAATCCCTCTGGTCAGCTGAGCAGGGACTCCACTAGCGTTAGCTGTCCATCCAAATCCACCAATGATGGGGGACTGAAGATCTTGACATGGAGCAGCTGTTCATTGTCCTCTTCTGCTGTGCATATGGCCACACCTTGCCCATTACGTTATCAATAAAGACACAGTTGTTAACAATGTTTGAGGAGCACAAGCCTGAAGAGAGGCCAGGGTGAATCTTCCTATGATCAAAAGGAATTCAGATTATCAAAGGTTTCATTTTCCAAAAAAAAATTAAATATATAATATAAATATGTATGTGATACATAAATATATAAATATACAGTAATGTATATAAATATACATTATAATGTAATATAAATATTATTTTATCTATAAACATATATATAAATAATAATGATGATAATAATAATAATTACATACATTTTCTTTGAAGAAATATGTCCATCATTGGCTCCAGGTGAACCTGAAATCAAGGGTGGCAGAGATGTGAATCCAAGCTGCTTATGCTTTGGACACTGCAGCCCTTCAGGAAATGTGCAGCAGGATCCTGTCCCCATTACCACTGACTGTCGTCTTTGAACCTTCCTCACAAGCAGGAAGCAGCCAGATGATGAACCATGCTGGGAGCTTGGGAAGGACTGGGGCACAAATCTCTAGGCAAATCTCTACTGTTGGTCCCACCTGATGGAGAAGGCATGATCAGATTTGCATTTGTGTGAAGAACATGGGCAGCAGTGTGGTATAGAAGGCTGATAGATTTTAGGGAGAATGGACAACTAGGACTCTTCTAAAATATTTCATGTGAAAGATTATGAAGCAGTTTGTGTAGTGTGCTGTGGAAAACAGAGGGTAGAGGCTCTGTATCATGTTATATCCTTCTAAAATGTGTTAAGTTTATGCAAGTAGATTGGACATAACATCTTCAACTTTGCCCTCCCATTGGGCTGTCTTAGCATGGGGTCATCATTTCTTAAACATGAACTTTTGGGGTCTCAGAGCAATTCACAGCAGTTTCACAAAGGACTCTCACTCTGAATCAGAATGACAAAGTCCTCCAAGTTGTGTATCTTCTGAAATATCTCCTTAGGTCTCCATCCTTCCTTCCAGAACTTCTTTTCTGTTTACCCTTCAGTTGTCTCACCTTCTGCACATGGAACTTAAGAATTTCCCAGGGAAAAGAGAGAGAGAGAGAGAGAGAGAGAGAGAGAGAGAGAGAGAGAGAGAGAGAGAGAGATCATTATACATGTTATTGAGCTCCTTTTCAATTATCTATGCCCTAACTTCCTGCTGTTTTGCAGTCATATAAGAATTTTTCTATTTATTACCAAGTATTATATTGTTTGCCATTTATATAGTTATGGTTATTTTAGTTTATTTTATTATTCTACTTTGTACTCTTATTTTTAATTTATTATCATTATCTTGCTTCACTAAAATGGAACTCCATGGACAAAAATATGTGCGTTCTTCTGCTTGTTCCTAGCTTTTGTTCTGTGCACATCTGTTGAGCAAAGCACGCTGGTCAAAAATCAGGGCTGGGGAGTCAGTATCTGCTCAGCTCACTGCTATGAGTCCTGACATGTCAGTCTCTGGATTGTAAAACGGGCAGTGTCCTGGGTGTGTGGCGCCTGGTGCTGGGGCCAACTCTTTCTGTTGTTTCAGATGCTTTTCTCCTTCTCTTTCTCCCCTGGCAGTTCCAGCCCTCCTAGGGAGTGCTGGCTGGAGGGGTAGAGGCCTGAGGTCTGGAGAAACTTAGCTTTGGCCACAGGGTGGCGCTGTGCTGTGTGGAAGCATGTGAGGCAGGGCTGAGAGGAGTAGAGGGAGGGGAGAGTGGAGAGGTGGGCATTCCATCTGACTGCATTCTCTCTGCTGGGAGCATTTCTTTGCACAAGTCATTGAGTCAATTCCAAAGTGACTCCCCTTGTCTTGTAGCACCCTTGCTATGGCATTCTCTTTCTGAATCTTGTGTGCCAGATATGTTTGTAATAAGCACTGCCAAACCCCCACAGTCTCAAAGACAGGGACAGAGACAGAGGTTACTCCTCTCAGCACATCCTCAGGGCCTGGCTCCTGGCTGGAGTCACAGTCATGCACCTTAAATGCTCCTTAAGTGGTCCAGAAGGGCACCATGGACATCTAATCATCCTCCCTCCTCAAAGCCAGGCCATCAAAGTTAGACGTGATGGGAGAAATCTTTCCAAAGAGCTGTCCCTGAGCTGTGACTGAGCAAGGGAGAAGGGGAAAGTGGTCTGCCTTGAGAGGTGTCCTGGGACGAAGGGTGGAGGGGCTCCCAGGGGCTGTCCTTGGAATTCAAGCCTGTTCCTTGGAGCCTTATTCCTGGGCTCAGTCTGAATTTTGTCCTTTTCTCCCCATAGTCCCCATGGACACCAGCATTAGCCAGAGACCAGGACACCTCATCATGGAGACAACACATAAGAAGTCCCTAGAACATGAGCAACCTCTGGGACATAATGCCATGTGTTGGTACAAGCCCCTGGGCTCATGTCCTCTGCAATCACAGGGGACTGGTTGAAAACCAGACTGTGCTCAGGTGCTTCTCATCTGAGTGCCTGACACTCTCGTGACTGGGCCAGTCTCTTGACCTGTTTGGCTGAGTGTATTCCTCTAAGAATCTCTATCTATAGGGGTCAGAGTTCTCCAGAGAAACAGACTACTAAGATCGATTGATCTATCTATCATATATCTATGTTCATTATAGGTTATTGGCTAATGCAATTAAATCTGAAATCTGCACAGTGGGCTGGAGATTCAGGGAGAGCAGAAGCTGCAGTTCAAAGGCAGTCAGTGGACCATTCTCTGATCTGGGGAATGGACTGTCTATTCATTCTAGTCGCATCTTCAACTGATTCAATGAAGCCCCCTCACATTATGGAGGACCATGTAATTTCCTCTCCTGATGAAAATGTTAATTCACTCGCATGTGAAACTCTCCCGACATAAATATTAATCTCATCCAAACTATCATCAAAGAGAGATCTAGATTAATGTCTAACTTAACTATCCTGGCAGTGGCCCAGTGAAGTGGACAACTCGCCATCCTCAGGGATGTATGCAAAGGTAATAAATATAAAGTCCACTGCACATAGTTGAATGCAGATCTCTTGATTCCCTTGGCTTATATTAGAGCCTCGTCCATCACTCCTTCTGTGAAAATGCAAATAACCACACATTTTGCCTAGTTGTCTTAGAGTTGAAAAACTCAAAAACCACAGAAATGGAAATATATATGCCTGTTTACTACATGAAATTAATAAACATACATTCCAAGTCAAACGTTGGAAATCAACCTTATTGATATATAAGCCACAGGTAATAAACATGACACATTTTAAATAAATTAGTCCATGATTTTTGAGCAATATATATGCAGCCATGAAACCTCCCATATAAAGGCATAGGATATTTCCACACCAGGTAAATTCCCTCATGCCCCTTTCCAATGCATCTCTTCATCTTTTTTAATCCATAATGTGATTTCTATCATCATAGAATAGTCTTTCCTCACGCATCTTTTTAACAGAAATTTAAAATCTCTATTGAATAAAATACTTCCTCTTCAATATCTCATTAAACAGACAAGAGATGAAGGTGCTCCTGGAAAGTCTTATGGCTTCAGTACGTTTGAAACCAAGTGAATACCTGACCCACAATTGGGACAAGCCCATCTTCAGATAGAGGACATGGTAAATGATTTTCAGACGATCTTCCCAGCTGGTGCAGGCAGATTCTACTCACTTATATTCATTTCTCATCTCTTCACTCACTCAAATTCTTTTATATTCATACTTTGACAAAATGAATCATTTCCCAGGATGTTATTTGAGATTTCATCAGAGAGCTTGTACCTGGACTCCCTTTATAAATTCCTGAATGTTCTGGAGCTGAGCACACCAGGCATTAATGACTTCACTGAGGGATGATACCACACCAGGAGAGAGCTCTCTTTGTGTTGACCTTGAGTATTTCACCAATTGAACACGAACATTGAGCTACTTCTGGCCGTGACCTAGAGACCAGGCTGCTATGCAGTGTGTCCCTCTGTCTCCTCACCAGAGAACTCCTGGGCACAGACACAGAGCCTTCTGGTGGGCTTGCCACCTCTACAGTCTCAGTTAGGGGCACGGCACCAGTCTCCCCGTAATTTCCTCTCCTGATGAAAATGTCAATTCACTCGCATGTGAAACTTTCCTAACTTAAATATGAATCTCATCCAAACTAACATCAAAGAGAGATCTAGATGAATGTCTAACTTAACTCTCCTGGCGGTGTCTCTGCATTTGATTTCTGTGTCCTTCTTTCCTGAGCCCCACAGATTCTGAGTGACCTTGCCTCAGAAATGAGCTTGTGCCAAAAAGAAAAATAATCACCAGGGAGAGTAGGAAGAATCTGAAACACAAAATCATGTACTATAAACCAGCTTCATAACTTGTTGCTGGATCTTTGGTCAAATATTGTTGAGAATTGTCTAGATCATAACAGCAGATTATTAAACCAAGGATGAGGTCCTTCTACCTTAGGAGCTCTGTGTAACTGGATACAGTTTCTTAGCTCCCCTATTTTTAGCACTTAATAATAATAGGCACATAAACAAGGGGCTGTTCCCTATGAAATATAACATCCCAATGAAGAAGAGCTTTTTCTCTCACCTTTGGGACCACCTTTCCCCGAGTCCCCCACATACTTCCTCTCTGTGCCAACAGGCCCCCTACAGGGCTGAGTGGTCCCCATTCTCCACAAGGGGAGGGGAATCACCTCTGCATTGAGGCCTCACCTGGGCGCAGGAACAAAATGCTCTGAGTGGATGAGAAGGTGCCCTAGGTACCTTTGGCAGATGTCCCACCTGCCAAGGAATCTACAAAAAACAGACCAAATCCTTCTTCAGATGCTCATAAGCCCCTCCTGGGATTTGAATCTGGATACCCAAGAGTGTCATTCATTGCAGGCTGAGGGCTTGAGCAGCACAGTGATCAGTTGAGGCAATTTGAAAATCATAATTGAAGGAGAATTTGGGACACACAGATCAAAAGTCACCAAGCAGCCATAAGGACTTACCCAAAGATTCTGGGCTCCAGAAATGTTAGATGACTGCACCAAAGTAGTAAGAAAGAGTGACAGCGTCACTGGAGCATAATATCCACGGGGTTACAGACTGTTTCACAAACTGGTCAAGAGAATGTGGCAATTCAGAAAAATGGGTTCCATTCTAAGCCACTCACTTGGCCACTCCTTTTGGATCTGACCTTCTGGGGAAGGCGTATGGCCCCTCGTGACAGGAAGGCTCTGGGCCCAGGCAGGGAGAGTGAGGACTCAGAGTGACACCCTGGAGGTTCCTGTGCTGCTGTCTGCATCACAGGGACATTTTACTCTCAGGCTTGAGTGTGAGCCTTGCAGGATGGAGTGTGGTTTGTAATTTAGATCCACCTAGACTCCCGGGTTGCCTGGCACCCACTGCCTCTCTCTCTAGGGCTCTCCCACAATCCCATCCCTCCTGTGCCCTCTGTGCCAGCCCATCTTTCCCATATGGACTGTTAATCTCCTCTGTGCCCTCAGGTCTTGGTGTTCCCACCTCCCTGTTCTTTGCTCCAACCATGCTGCCAGTCCTCATCCAGGCCTGGTTCTTCCCACTGAAGACATATCCAAGGGGGGCTCCTCAGCCTTGGGCAGAGGAGTAGCCCTACCTGGGCTTAAGATATCACCACCACCTTCCTGAGGGCAAGACGTCCTCATCACCCTCTTTAGCACAATTCCCCTTGTGTAAAAATTTTCAAGAAATAATGTGCCAATCAGTAGAAATAGTACAATTGGAATTTTCTAGATCCCTGATTAATTACTTCATTCCACAATTCCATTTTTAACCTCCACGAGGACAGGGTTAGAGGCTGCTCCATTTATCCCCGAGGTGCCCTGTCCACAGTGAACTCCCATTTCCTTGAGAAGGGATGAGTGAATGATCCACTGAATGGATGGATGAACCAATAACAGAGGCACCCTAGGTCACACTCTACCCTGGCAGAGGTCCAGCGTTAACTGAGAGAAGTCACACCCTTTGATGCTGGGTCACAGTGGGCATGCAGTTGATGAGCAGTCTCTGCCCCTAGACATCCCTCCTGGCTCAAGGTTTCCTTCTGTGGCTTCAGTGACAGATTCCTCCAGATGCATGTTCTCTTCTTCAACCTCTTTGTCTACAAACAATTTAATCAGATCTGAAAGACACTTTCAGAATTCTGTCCTTAAAGTCTTCTTTCCTTGGAACCATTTCTGGTACCAACAAGTTTCCATCAGTGCAACAGACTTGCTAGAAGCACTGTGGGAAGAGGTTTATCAGAGAAATTAGGCCTAACACAAATGTGGGCAGAGCTGAGGCAGAGCAGGTCTGGAAGGGAGAAGTCAAAGGTCAAGTGATGGCCAGCAGTCAGTGCTCTTGGAATTCTGGTACAGGATCTGGGCCTGGGGTTGCAGGGAAGAGGGTTCAGAGCACACCCAGCCGCCTGGTGGTACTCGCACAGGAGCCAAAGTGCATGGAAACCCTCTTCTGGGGAAGCAGCTGCCTCTGTGTGGGGCTCCATAGCCTGCCTGTGTGGACATTGGGAGGAAAGCTAGACACAGAGTACAGAAGTCAGAGGACCTTGTGGTCTGTGCACACTTTTGTAACTATCACCTTGTCTCCCTGTCTAACCACAAGGACCTTCCACCTGTGGTGGTGGCTGTTTTGTTTCTGTCTGCTAATTCTACATAAACGCCTCTTGACCAGCTGTCACCCAGACCATTCTGGAAAGATGTTTCCAGATGAGGAAAGCTTCTCTGGTGGCACACCCATCTCACTCCTGCTGTGGTGTCCAAGCTCCTCCTCTTCTGAATATACCTGCTTCACGTGGATCGTGGACTCAACTGCGATGTCTCTGAATTAGTTGGAACTAAGTAGTAAAATGAGTACTTTGGCTGCTTAATTGTCTTCAGTTGCCCAAATGGTAGAACAAATCCTTGATATTAAGACTTGGGGTCCTAGTGTTTTTCACCTTTCAGTTCCCAGGGCTCAGAATGCGTGAGAGTGAGTGAGTCTGGGTGTGTGAAGTGGTCTGCTCTGGGTTTAGGAATAGTGCAACTTGTTGAACAAGCAAAAGCCTAACTTTTATTTGTGCAGATCATTTGTTCGTTGGCACAGGAGTTTCCATTCTAAAATATAGATTATCTTTATCTGTAATGAGTGTGCAGTCTACATATATAGTTCTGTCACTGTGAATATCTACAGATATAGAAATTTTCATATTTAAGTTTCATATTAAAATATGAAAGACAAATTGAAAGACATACTGAAAGACAAATGAATAGAAAGCCCTTGTTCTGGACTTTCGGAGAGGACACACAATATGAGATCTCAGTATACTATAGCACTGAGGCAGAAAGTGCTGACCCATGCTTTGGTTTTTGTTAACTAGAAGTATATCAATATTTAAACATGTCATGCAAGTATGCTCTAATGTGCATCACGTGTTTTCAGGTTGTGGTGATAGATAGAGGAAATGATGTCACTGTGATAACAAGGGACAGCCCTCCTCCTCTGCAGCTGCTTATAATGACCTGCTTTGGTGAGTCTCCATCCATCCTGAACTCCCATGGGCACCAGGCTCCTTTTCTATGTGGGCTTCTGTCTCCTGGGAGCAGGTGAGTCCTTAGGACACCAAGCAGTTTGATTGTATGCGTGTGGGTGCACATATGTGCCTTCACGTGGGTGTATGTGCATGTGTGGGTGTGGGTGTGTTGACTATGATGCATGCCTCATCCTCTGCCCATCTTCTTTCTCCACAGACCACGCCCATCCTGGAGTCTCCCAGTCCCCCAGGCACAGGGTCACAAAGAGAGGAAAGAATGTAGTTCTCAGGTGTGATCCAATTTCTGGACACAGTGGCCTTCAGTGGTACCAACAGACTACGGGGCAAGACCTGGAGTTCCTGATGTCTTTCCAGTATGAATGTGCAGCAGATGAGTCAGGGATGCGCAGTGAGCGGTTCTCTGCTGAGAGGCCACAGGGATCCTTCTCCACACTGGAAACCAAGCTCACAGAGCCTGGGGACTCGGCTGTGTACCTCTGTGCCAGCAGCTCAGCCACAGTGTAGCACAAGCTCCTCCTTCCTGATCACAAAACTCATCCTTCTCTCTCTTTGCAGCTCTGAGACACCTAGTGTTCTTTCTTTGCTCTTCAACCTTCAAGGGAAGGTGGTGGACTAGGATGTCAGCTGGCCTTTGAGTAGAAAGAGGTCACAGAAGGACTTCCAAGGATGGGCAGGATTGGGTTTCTGAGATTCCTTTCATTTTGTAGCATTTGCTTTGCCTTCTGTTTCATCCTGCGTTCTCATCCATCTGGAGGGCAATGCCTCTGGATTTGCTTATGGCTCTTGGGGAGGTTTCTGTGGTTCCCTTGGATCCAGAAGTCAGTCATTTCAATAGCTCAGCTCTCCCCCCCCCCCATAGGCAGCCAGGACAGTGAGACACACAGCAGAGCTTGTGCAGCTTTCAGAGCATCACGTTAGGCATCCTAGAATGAGGGGTCATCGAAGGGCAGTTGTCCACACCTAACTCTTTTAGTCCAGTTTAAAAGCTACATGAACAAAGGTCATGTGATCTGCCCATATGAGAGGTCTCTGTCATTATGAGCTGATTTCAAAGATGGGGAAAATCATTCTCATCAAGATGGTTCTCAACATGAATGGAATAGGGAGTTGTGTCAGGGAAACCCTAGGACAATCAAGGACTTGGAGCAATTCTAACTCAGCGTGGAGCCAGGGACTCAGGCGCAGATGCTTGGAACTGGAGACAGTTCTTTGGGTGACATAGCAGACCTGGAATGAGCTCTATTATCCAGCACAGAGTCTCCTGGCATTGCACCAACATGCCTTTAGCTCCCTCCACTCCTCTTTTATTTCCAGAACCATCTCTCCCTCACAGATGCTCCCATCAGCAGGTGTGCATTGTCCAAGTCCTTCTTGGTGTAGGATGCCCTTGGTCCCCCTTCCCTCTGCCCACCACTGCCTTCCCCATGAGATACTGTTCCGTACATGATTGTAGCCTTAAGGTTAGCCCACATTTTCTTACATTCTAATTCTACTTTTCATTCACCCATTTAACTTTGTCTTGAAGTTGACCTCATTACATGCCCAGGTCTTTGCTCATATATACTTTTGAATTAACAGTGACAGGCATTGGTTGTGGTGGTTTGGATTTCTTGACATTTTTTATTTATCTTGAGTAATAGAGTAAAGAAACTTACACTTCAATTCCTGTGTTTTCTTACTAATAGTTTTACACTATATATTATTTCCTGTCATTCCTCTCATTTTATTTCTCTGCATTTAGAAGACAATTTGAAGGGTGAAGATCTCAGATCAAAACTGCCATGTCTGTGAGTGAAGACTGATGGTGTTTTATGAAGCGTGGCAACTGAAAGAAATAGTCAGAATTAGTATCAGCGTTGGGATTAGGGTTTAAGGAAGTTGATCCTAAAACTTCCATTACTACTTGTGGAATTCTATCCTAATTTTGGAGTGGACGCTTTATCACTGCCTGGCCACAAGATGGCACTGTGAGGCCATTGGGCTCCAGTGATCTCAGGAAGAGTCTGAGAGAGCAGCCTAGGAAGAGAAGGGTTAAGAACATCCTGGACTTGGGTCCCACATCAGGTTGGTGTTGAGAAGTTTTCAGTTATTATTCAGCTACCTACATCGCTGGGAGGGGTAGGAGGTCCCTCTAAGCTGAGATGCACAGTTGAAGAATGTGGGCAGGACAGCTGCAGGTGTCCAGGCAGCTACAGATGGAGCACAAACTGCCCCAGAGGGAGGAGGGAAACCACAAGTGGGGGTGCCCCAACTCAGTGCACTGCTGCCACACCCACCGTCCCCCAGTTCTTGCTAAGCAGCAGCATCCATGAGTGGAGTGTTTGATTTGCCTGAGCCAGTGGGGAGGCCCCTGGGCCAGGGAGAACCCACAGGGTGTGGAGGAGTGGCATGAGGGCCCCACCTCTCAGGTGCCTGGAGAGGAGCCTCAGAGCCCCAGCTGTCATCCTGTGGTCACAGCATTAGCTGGGAGAGCTCCTTTCCATGGGGACCTGCATGAACCCCAGACTCTTCTGTGTGACGCTTTGTCTCCTGGGAACCGGTGAGTTCTGCAGCTGCTGGAAAACCCTGTCATGGCTTTGCCAAGTCCAGGCTCCCAACTTCCCTTTCCTCTGCAGATACAGACAGGTTTTCAGTCTTGACTTTACCTATGGCTCCCTTTCCACAGGCCTCATGGACGCTGTGATCACCCAGAGGCCCCGACACCTTATCTACACATGGGAAAAAAGACAATCCTGGAGTGTTCTCAGAACCTGAACCATTATGCAATGTTCTGGTACCGACAAGACCCAGGACAGGGGCTGAGGCTGCTGCACTACTCAGGCAGTGTTGGCAGCACAGCTGAAGGAGAAGCCTCCCAAGGGTCCAGTGCCTCCAGGGATCAGAAGGAGCATTTCCCCCTGACCCTGGAGTCCCCCAGCACCAGCCAGTCCTCCCTGTACCTCTGTGCCAGCAGCGAAGCCACAGCAGGGCACAGCCAGCTGCTCTCTGCACAAGAAGCGCAGCCACAGGGTTCAGGTGGACTCTCCTTCCAGAGCCCCTGCCTCAGCCAGCAGAGAACATTGTTCTGAACCCCTCCAAGACTGCCAGCCTCAGCCCCTGGGCCTTGTACAGCATGGATATGAGAGCTAGGTTCACGTGTGTGTGTGTGTGTGTGTGTGTTGTCCTGACATACAAATAACATTCAATGTCACTTTTCTCAACTGAGGATTCTAGTAATTGATTCAAGGAGAGAAAATCACTTCAACATGAAATTTGGATTATATTTTCTTTTCCAGGGAGAAGAACAATGCAGATAATCTAGGATTTTCTTAGTTTACTTCCATTGCAGAAAGTCACTTTTAATTCCATTAGATCCCAAGCAAACATACCCTGTTAAATAAATCTCATTAACAAGTTTTAAAACACACCCATAAACTATCCAGAGAGGGGAAATGATGTTAGAGGCACCAAAATACCATTAGATCTGAAGAAAATACATTAGGAGAATTATAAAAAAAAAAAGAGAGACAATAAACGAAGTCTTCACAGAACTGTGTTGAATCTTATGGTAGTTTGAAATAGGACCTTGGTTCTTCATTGTGTTGGCTGGGATTAAAATCCATGATCACCTTAATGTTCTTCTTACAAAGTATTACAGCATAATATTGGACAACCATTTTATCTTCCTCCAGCCCATCTTCCTCCTTGGGACCTGCAGAACAGGTCCACACACATAAGCATGATTTCTAAACTGGGACCCATTTTCTGCATGACCATGAGGCTTACAGCTGGGATTCTAAGAACACAGAAAACCCAAGTGTCTATGGTGCACACTGTGCACCTCTATGAGGCTGCCAGAGGCGTGCACCTGCTCACCCAGGGCCCTGTGTGTGAAGAGGGGAGCAGGCAGCTTGTTGGTAAAATGTCAGTTTACAGATGATGAATGGATGAAAGCTCAGATGAATGATTGATTGGTGAGACTGATGGAGACTGGTTCCCCAAGTTTTGACACTTCGAGCAATTTATGAATGAGTCCAGCAGCCTTGTGGATTTTTTCCTAAGTTTCTGTTAGTCTACAACTTTAATTCAGCAATCAATGCTCAGATGTTTTTTTTCTCCAACTTGTTAATGTGGCTTATTTTGATGCTAAATTTTTATGTTGTATATTTCATTCCTGAACACTTTTATAGTCTAAGTATTTTGTGTAATATATGTATGCACATGTTTGTTTATATTTTTGGAAAATTTTTAAATTAAAAAACAGAATACAAGCAAAGTTTCATACATAACTTGCATGTATCACATGATTCATTTATTTAGGTCATATTAATTATTTACTAAGGTAAAATAAGGAGTAACATACTCAAGCTAATCAGTAGACTTTTGCCAAATATTGATAACAGCATACCCCATTGCAATCATAACCAAAATCATGATTAAGAATATGTCCATCACCCAAGAAAGCTTCCTATGCCTCTCCCCACCTATTTCTGTTGAAGAGGTAACCACATTTCTTATTCCTATCCTCATTGACAAGTTTTGTGTGTTCTTGAACTTCATAGAAATGGAGTTATATACCACTCCTTTTTATTGAGATCTATTCCACACACAAAAGATTACATTTTTTGAAATGTATCTATGTTGTTTGGTATATCAGTAGATTATTCATTTTGATTGCAAAGTTGTGTTATGTAAGGGCAAAATAATTTCTCTACTTATTTCAGATGTACTATATACAAAGGAATGGGATCTACCCAGGTCCACATTCTCAGAAATATTTGGTCTTCTCAGTCTTCATCATCAGTCATCCTATTGGGTCTGTAGTGGTGTCTCCTTCCCACATCCCTCATGAGCAATACTACTTACTGTTGTCGTGTACTTATTGGTTCTTCCTAACTTCTTACTATGTTTCCTCCCTTTGTAAAATGTCTGCTTTTAAATTTGACCATTAAAAATTGAATTATTTGATTTTATTTTTGATTTGTAGGGAATATCTTTGTATATTCTAGATAGGAGCCGTTTGGTGATTGAACTACTGAGTCTGTCTTCTCACAGAGTGGCTTACCATTTTCTTTTCTTAACAGTATGTTTTGATGAACTGAAGTTTTACATTTGAATGAAGACTGCTTCACATCTTGTTCTTTTATGCCTAGTCATTCGCATCCTAAGGCATTTTTTCCCTCCCCAATGTCATGAGTTGCTCTTTTCTGGTTCTTACTCTATGTTCCACTGTAGCAGCCTCTTTTCCTGTTCTTTGTCATAAGTGAACAAGGCTCTGCCTCCCAAATCAGGAGGTGAACATCTGTCTATCCTGCCACACCTGACTCTTGACATTACTGGCTTCACCTTTCCCTTGTCAACTCTTCCTTGGATTCCTTAGAGCCCAGTGAAGTGGAGATGGGTAGGTGTTGTTGAGGAGGGCATCCAGGTGCAGCCCCACCACGTCCACCTGCACAGGAGATGAATGCAGTAGTCTTTCCTCCGGAGGAGCACATGAAGATGTGTGGCAAATGTTTTCTGGATTTTTTCTTTTCTTTGGCCTCTATGACCTCAAATCACTGTTTATTTTCACAATTAATATTTCTCAGTGTTTCTCCTGGCTCTGTTTGCAATGTTAATTGCACAATGTTAGAAGTTTTGGCATCTAATTGCAGAATGTTAGAAACTTTGATACCTCTAACTGCTGAATGTTAGATCTCTTGTGGATTTTTTTAAAGCAAAATATACACTCCAAAGCTCATTTTTCCCCTTGCTAGGTCTTTTAGTCAGAGTCCTGGGAAGACTGAGAAGGGAGAATGAATGATTATTTACAAAGTCTTACGGGTTCACAGGAAACTATCAAGGTTAGGAGAAGCATCTGGGGCTACAATTAGTGGGTGGTTCTTATTCACATTGGCTTCAAATCTAGATCAGAGGCTTTGAGGCTCTGGGCATGAGAAGTGGCTTCTATAGCAAGATTTTTAAATTTCTTCTATTTGTTCTAATTAGTTATACATGACAATCAAAAATATTTATATACTTTGATATATCATACATAAATAGGATATAACTTTATTTTTCTGATTGTACATGTTGTAGAATCACATCGTAGGTAGGTAAGGTAATAATGTAAGGTAATAATGTCTGTTTTATTCTTTTATCCTTCCTACAAGGTCCTGTGCCATTTAGTAGAGAAAAATAGCCACTAAGAGCTGCATTCTAGCAAGAAGGGAGCCCTGGGAATAGATCTTGCATACCATGACAGTTGTTGCCCTCCGTCACTCCATCTCCTCACATTGTCTCCCATGAGCCACATTCACTAGGGAGCGAGAGATGAATGAAGGCCATTAATATAATAAATTGTGGTCAGCCTCTGGAAAGCAGGATGGATCTGGAGGGAAAAGGTCAGTTTTGCATAGTATTACTCAGTGGATGGTGTTGGGGGTGGTAATTGCAAATTTGCTAATCTTGTATTGTTAGCAGAAACAGTTGCAGAATGTTTTGGGGAAATGTTGCTAGTAACAATTTACAGACAATCCAGACTCCCTTTTTACCTGCTCAGATGGAATAAATCTTGGTTATTCTGCATCACTGACAACTCAGGTGAGGAGCTGGGCACACTTCCTGAGAAAGGAAAATGTAGTCCCCAAGAGCACCCTCCCAGTGACCTACTTTATCCACCAGGCCCTGCCTGCCTACAGTTACCACCCAATAATCCATTCAAATCACCAGTTTGTCTACTGGGTTAATACCAATCAGGTTATAGCTCTCATACTCTAACCATTTCACTTCTGAACATTCCTACATTGCCCACATGGACTCTATGATAGACACCTTCTATCCAACACACTTCAGGACTCTGTGTAGTTATCACTTTGTGTTTTGATATTCAGATTAGAAAATTGCTGTCTACTTCCAAATGATTATGTTTTCTTATATTTCAGTCCTTTTGTCTGACTTCACCTCAAGTCTAGAACGCTAGAGTCCACTGGTCTTATCTTTCCTCACCGCCCTGGAAAAGCACTGGTCTCTTTTCTGGTTCTCTGTTTAATTCATCTGCTTCATGAGTTCTTGCACTAATGACACACTGTCTCATTTCCTGATGTTTTGTTCCTTTTTGCTAAGGACTCGTGATGACTATTGATTCTTTTTATTTTTCATACATATTTTATAATGTCTCACCAAAGTCTTCAAGAACAATATGCCTGCTGACAATTTTCTTTGTTTTCCTAAGTGCCTAAAGTGCATCATAGAATAACTCTAAGAATATTAACAAGACCATTAACCATATTAATATATCTATCTCCAAAGAGTATAAAATATGCACCATTTGACATCTCATCAAAGATTCCAACCGTACACAGGAGGAAAATATAAACCCTAGTGGGGAGAAAAATCAATCAATGCAAAACAACCCAGCAGTGACGATCTGCAGAATAAAATATAAAATTAATCGTGTCTGTAGCTAATAGGTGCAAGATTTCCCAGAGATGGGGAGATAGAAGAAGACCCAAATCAAACTTCCAAATCACACATCAAACAGTGTGTGTGATGAAAAAAAAAAATACCTTGGACATAAGGAGCAGCAGATTAGACATCATAGAGAAAAAGAGATTAGACTAAGAAAACATACAACAGTATGCAATTCATAATGAAACAGAGGAGCATAAGGCCATAAATGAGCTGGAAAAGGGTTGAAGAGACTTAATATGCAATAAGAGATCCAAAATGTACATGTCAAAATTTAAATTTCTTAAAAGGATCATTTGCTCTCTACTAAAATAATTCTGACACAGCAAAGGTTTATACTATCTGAAATATAAATCAAGTCAACAGTAATAAGAAAACAGGAAGAGCACAAATGATGAAATGCCAACCCACTGAAAGTTTTGCATAATGTACATGAAGCCACTTGAGGGTGACTGTGTTGAGCAGAGATGTTTACTGCAAACTTTGGAGCAGCCACTAAAATAACAAGCCCAGAGTTAAAGCTAATCAGCTGGCAAGCAAGAATCAAGTTATAAAAGTGCTCAATTATTCTACAAGCTAGAATAAAATAAATGGAACAAAGGAGAGATAGGAAACAAATACAAGTTGGCAGAGGAGACCTTAACCGAATTAGCAATCCCATCAAATCTAAGTGGTCGTAATGTCCACATTAAAAAGCATATAGTATAATTTTGAACAAAACAGGGGGAAAAAACCTATATGTCTTCTACCATAAATGTAGTCTCTGACATCTGTAGAACTGAATTAAGAAACAATTACACAAATAAATAGTCTGGAAAAATCTTCACTATTTCAAAATTAAATGACAATTTTCTAAATTACTCCTAAAGCAAAGAATAAATCAAGACAAAAAGTTAAAAATGTGTTAAACTGAATAAAACCAAAAATATAACAGGCAAAATTTGGTAGGATGTCACTAAAGCAGAACTTAGGGAAAACTGATTAACAGGGAATATTCCCTATTCCTTGGAGACAGCACCGCTTGGACACCAGAATCAGAGATATTGCAACAATAACAACAGAGAACCAAATATGCCTCATGAACACAGAGCCAATGATTCTTTTAAAGTGGCATATTGAGTCCAACAATACTTAAAAAGAATAACATTTCATGATCAAGTGAAACTTACTTCAGTAATGGGCTGCTTTAACATTCACCTAGAACATCAGAATGAAAAAAATATATGATCACATCTATTGATGCTCAACACAAATTTATTTAAATTCCATATCCAATCCTGACAAAACTGTTAACAACCTGTCAGTAATATATTTTCTTTACCTAATAAAAGGCTCTAATGTAAAATGTAGGGTTAAATACAATTTTTTTTAGGTAGACTGTAGTTACTCACAGATACATTTTGAAGTCCCTAGATAATCGCTAAAAGTAGCAAAAAAAGAAGGGAAAAATCATGTCAACAAACAGTACTGGAAAAACTGCATCTTGACATGAAGGTATAATGAATCTCAGCTCTTATCTCATTCAAGAAGACAGACACAGGCAAACTATCACCCAGGGTAAAGTGTGATCTGTGCTTCCTTTCATAGGGCCCAGGCAAACAGTGACTTTTTTCACTTGTGAATTATTGAAAATATTTTTAATGTCAGAGTATGTGAAAATTACACAAAACTCCAATTTCAGTAATGATAGACTTTTAACAGAACACAGCCACATTCATTTCATTATATTGTGTGTGTTTGCTTTTGTACCATGATGGAAAGGGAGTAGTCAGTAGACAGACACTGCATGGTAGGCACATAACGCATAAAATAGGAGCCTTCACAGAAGAAGTTTGCTGACACTTGCCACAAACAAAAGTTAATTTCAGGTGATTTGAAGTCCTCAGTGATCTAAAAACTCAGTCCTAAAGCTTCTGGAAGAAAGTTTAGCTAACCACCCTCAAGATCTTGGGGTAGGCCAAGGTTCCTAATAGAGGCAAAAAATGTGATATTCCTAAAAGAGTATATTGTTCTCTTTCTAAATAAAATATAATGTTATATAAATATGAATGAAAGGCCCTTATGGTATTCATAATACCGAGAATTCCTATGAACCAATCAGAAAGAGGACAAACAGTTCAAACAAGGAAAGGAGTCAAAGTGTTGAAAGGAGTAGTCAGAAGATACTGAGTTCCTGTTCCTGCAGAGGATGGGTTTTAGTCCCAGCTGCTTAGAGGGTCATTGGAGATAGAAGTCCACTATCCCCCCTGTAAGGACTGACTTTAGGTACAGAAAGTGGTTTGCCCACTCCCACCCCATTTCCAGGGCAGCTGGCGTCTAATATCTATCTGGTGGGCATCTTCCATCCTACTACATTCATTGGTAAGATTTAGAATTTTTATTCCCTTTCTCAGAAGAATTAAGGAGTTTGTTTCATGCCTCCCTCAATCACCATGACAGCTGAGACTGCAACAGGTAAACCTCAAACCTGTGGGTGTTCTGCTGTGCCCTGCAGTTCCTGAGGCCTCATTTAGAAAGTCATAATCTCCCTAGACAGCCTCCCTACTGTTCATCCTAGAAACTGCACAGTGGCCACGAGAGGGCACTGTGGGTCCACTGAGTGAGCTGCAGCCAGTGCTTCTGGAAGACAATGGCTCAGGGGTCTTGGCTGGGGGCCTGCATTAGGAATAACACCTGAGGAGCCAGGCAGTGCTGCACAGGACAGAAGAATCATAGTCTCTGCACATCCCATGATGTGCATGTGAATGACTCAGGGCAGGGAGCCATGAACTGCACCTTGGTGAATCAAGGCCTCTCTGGGAGCCTGCATTTGACAAGGGGAGTGATGGGACTCCAGGGGGCAGCTCACACCACCATCCAGGTGGAGAGAGAGAAGCTCCTGAATCACAGGAAAGTTAGAAAACTGTGAGCAAAGACTTCACCGCACACCCCACCCTGCCTTGCTCAGCACAGTCAGCTGCCCCTGTCCCACAGAAGCTCCACAGAATGGAGAAAGGACTACATCAACTGAGCATGTCCAGGGGCTACAGGAGACCTGCTGAACCCACAGGCACACTGGCATCAGAAGAGTGACATCTCTGATGTCATGGCAGATGCTCCAAACAGAGAAAAGGGAGGAGCCAAGAGCCTGCTCTCAGCCCAGGAGACCAGCACCCTGAGTGCAAAGATGCTTAGACCTGTCCTTCCTGACCCTGCCTGGGGACCCAGGCTCCTCTGCTGCATCACCCTTTGTCTCCTGGGAGCAGGTGAGTCCTGAGCACAGGGGACAGCCCCTGGAGCCACAGTCCTTTCTTGTTGCTTTAGATCAAACTCCTCCTTGGGTTAGGTGTTCACTCCTGTCTCCTTCCTCCCCAGGTTCAGTGGATGCTGAAGTCATCCTATCCCCGAGACACCTAATCAGAGCAAAGGGAGGAAAGGGCACTCTGAAGTGCTATCCCATGTCTGGACACAGAAGTGTGTCCTGGTACCAGCAGGCTCCTGGTCAGGGGCCTCAGTTCTTTGTTGAATATTTTGATAAACTGCAGAGGAACAAAGGAAACCTCCCTGATCGATTCTCAGCTCAGCAGTTTGATGACTATCACTCTGAGCTGAACATGAGCTCCTTGGAGCTGGGGGACTCAGCCATGTATCTGTGTGCCAGCAGCTTGCACAGCCCTGAAGAGCCACTGGCTTTCTGTACCTTAACCTTCCTGTCCCAGCTGAGGGTGTTCTAGGCAGAGGAGGTGGAGGTTACCACATAGACTCAGTCAAGGCCCCTGGATGCATCTAGCTCTTTGTTAACCCTCAGTCTGCCCTGCTAGGCTCAGCCAGAGTGCTCCTTGTCATTCAGACCCCAGCCCTTCTGGGTGTTCTTTTATCTAAGCCGACACTTTTCAATTCCCAGCAAGTGGCAGGAACCCGTACTCAGTGCTAGAGTGTGGGTATTTATGATAACACTCGTATTCGCTTTATAGATGATTACAGTATATCACTTTATCAAGAGGAAGTTGCATGTAGCTCATGGACTCTCCCTATATTTCATATTTACTAGTATCAAAGAGAGAATGGAAACCTACATCTCCTAAATCAAAAGTTCTGCTGAAATCCATTATTGCTGCCTGATATTGGACAAGAATGTGTATCAGAGCAGAGCCTCTTGCATTCAAGACCATCTGGGCAGCAGGGGGAAGGCACATTATGGGATAGAGTTGCGTAGCTTATTGCCTTTCAATACTGAGGACACTTGAAACTAATGGAGGGGTTGTTGTCTGTCCTGTCATAGCTTCAAGCTCAAGTGTACATTTCCAACAACAGAAAACTTGTGACCCTATCATTAATTACTAAGTCAAGTAAAAGGAGATATTCCCAGGGGATGCTCATCTCCCCAAGGAAGTTTGAGTATTGTTGGTAATTCAGACTTTACTTTCGAGATGATCCTTAGAGGTAGTTAATTCAAAGTGTCCTCTGTTGGTGAATATTGGGACTAGCCAATCTGTGGCCGCAGATAGGAGAGCCCGTCCTGGGTGCCCACGCCCCTGCCATAGCCAACCCTATGAGTGCTACACTGATTTCCTCCTGGTGTCTCTGTGTTTCTGCACCCTGTTCACTAGGCCTGATTGTAGGGAGTATCCATTAAGAGTCCATCAATGTGTGGAGACACGGAAAAAGGCCTCACAGTGAGATATGGCCTCTGTGGGAAAGAACAGCATTCACTGCTATTGCATGATAGAAGATTCACGACTGAATGAATCTTTTAGTATTTGGTGGATATGAGATCATATGAACGAGGACAGAACATTTCCCTCTGACAGTGGAGGCACAGGTCACAAGCAGATATCTCATCCACATCACTAATGATCCATATCTTGTCTTGAATAGAAATATTGTCATGGGGACCTAAGTGGCCAGGATTCCAAGGACTCACCTAAAACAAAGAATTCATATCCATAGTGATGCACTAAGGCTTCAGAGTATATGGAAGGACTCCTGTTCCTGACCTTTTGTGAGACTAGTTAAAAAAGTTTTTCAAGTAGAAGTGACCTTGATCTTGATGCTCTTAAAACTTTCTGGTGGTCAATGATTCTTGTAGTCAAGAATAGCATGGCATACTGACATCTAATTCCCAGAGTTTAGGCAAATGGAAGAACTAGTGTAAGGAACTTGGAGATGATGTTTGAGCAGAGAAGTTCCAGAAGGCACCACGACTGCCATGCAGATGTTCCTTATATTGAAGAAATATTGGGAAAAGTTAGTTACACACAAATAAGAAACTATATACTTATAGGAATAAAAGCTGCATGGAGGACCAAATATTCTTCCTAAAATTTAGGAAGGATGATTCACACTTATAGTTTAAAGCAAACTACAAATTCTTTCCATTCAGAGATGATGAATTGTGCATATGCAGCATAAAATATTGCCATATTTCACAATATTATATATACATATATATGTAATTGAAAGTTGACTTTTCCCTAGGGAAGGGTTGTGGTAAGTTATTTGCACAGCTCACGTATTTGTAGGGGACAAGTCATCACTCGGCTGCTAATGGCAAAAGTTCTATTTCCCCAAAACAGACTCAGAAGACATGGGACTCTCCCTCATTCCTACAATGAGAATCAAGCTCTTCCTCTGTGTGGCCTGCTGTCTCCTGTGGGCAGGTGAGTGCTGGCCATGGGGGCTTCCTACTCTGAAATTCCAAGACTTCAATCCAAGTATCTCTTGAGGTGACATAAACTTCACTTTTTCTACCACAGGACACATGGAGGCTGGAATCACCCAGAGGCCAAGACATGTCATCACAGAGACAGGAGAAAAGGTGACTTTGAGATGCCACCAGACCTACAACTATGACTATATGTACTGGTATCGCCAAGACCCAGGGCAAGGGCTGCAGCTGATCCATCACTCATATGCTGTTGGCAACACTGCCAAAGGAGACGTGTCTGACGGGTACAGTGTCTCCAGATCAAACACAGAGGACTTCCCCCTCACTCTGGAGTCCACCACCCGCTCCCAGACATCTGTGTACTTCTGTGCCACCAGTGACTACACAGTGCTCCAGGGCCACCTCCTGGCTGCACATAAATAGGAAGACTGTGGCTGCCTGTGCTCAGGAGCCCTGGCCACCCCAGGAAGCAGAGCCCTTGCCAGCCTGGGGACCTCACAGCCTGGGCAACAGGCCCTCAGTGCTGAGGTCCTCCCCTGCCAGTCTCAGCCTGACCTCAGACCTCCCAGCCCCCTTAGCTTGCTGCTGCTCTCTTCAGCAGCCCTCTCTTTCTACCTGCAAAAGGAAAATGCATCTTAGTGGAGGTTCCTGTTGAAGGCCTTGCCAGTCTCAAGGCCACCACCTTCTCACCCCAGGGCTTCAGTGTCTTCCTCATCCTCCTATAGGCTCTTCTACTTCAGCCCTGAGTCTCTCCCCCATGACCTCTGCTCCTGGCTGCCTCCATCCTGGGGGGAAGCCCTAGGGGTCTGTGTCATGTGCCTTCCTGTCTCTCCATCCTCCATGCACCTGTCCCCTGGCTGTCAGCTCCTGTCACACTCTCCTCTGTGAGTTATTTCCCCCATGAGGACTTGTCCTCACAGGGTGTTCCTTTGACACTAAACATATGTCCCTCCTCTCATTCCTGGGTCTACTTCATTCCATCATGAAAGTGTATTTCAGGTACACTAATCCTTAATTGTGACATGCAAAACTTTAAATTTATTAGAAAAGATAAAGGAAATAGTTTTATCATTTCCTTGAAGGAGGATTTGACTTTATTCAAGACACAAAAGAAGACAAGCCATAAAGAATGATTTTTTATCATGGCAGTTGTATTAAAGCATTATTAATTTAAATCACACTTTCTGGAAGGTCAAGAGAAGGACCTGTTCTCTTGTCTTTTCAGTCACTGGAGGCCACCAGCACCTGGGCTCATGGCACCTTCCAACTTCAAAGCCAACAGTGACCACTTGAGCCTTCCCTTGGGCTGTGTTACTCTGGCTCTTCCTCCTTTTCCTTCCACATCTTAAGGCCTTTCTGATTGTAGCTGCCTTGGGGGAACATTCCAGGGTAACCTCCTTGTTATCAGTGTCCCCTGATGAACCACCTTAACTCCATTAGAAAATTTAAGTCCCCCCTGGCCATGCAGTGTAACACATTCCCAGGCTCCAGGGACTAGTCACACCTATCTGCAGAGGAACATAATTTGACCTGCCACATGTAGGCACCTGGAAATAGAAGGAACAAACAATGCTGGTGGTTAGAAAGCAGTGAGGAGCCTAGTCTTACACTAAAGGTTCAAGACACCCTGCAAGAGGACAGTGCCTTCAAGGGAAGCAGGCACATCAGATGCCTCCAGCCTGCCTGTAACTGTGGGTTATCTAAAGTTGTCAGGTTCTCTCGGGTGCAGGGGACTCAGAAGGCTGTCTGGGTGTCCACAGCACATGTGGACTTCTGTTCCTTCTTTGTAAGCAGATAACGTAATTGACCACCCTAAGAAACAGAGCATGCTTCAGCTTCCCATAAGGCCAACCTGAGAGGAGGTGTGCTGGGGACAGGTCCTTTCTATAGGGAAGAGGCAGGTGTTCATGACATCAGTGCAGTCCCCATAGATTCACAGTGAGTTGACCTCTTTTTCTTCCTGGGGAGCCACAGGTCAGCTCGTACCTAACAGAGGGTGATTTGGTTGTGAGTGTGTGACTGGGGTCTTGTGCCATCAGTGAGAGCAGAAGCTGGTTGCAATGAGATAGGGGATTCGTGTTTCAGTGCTTGGAGTTTGAGGTGCAGATGGAAGGAATGGGCAGGCTCTGAGGTGAGGGGATCTGGAGAGGAATCATTGAGAGATGATAATGTCAAACAAACTGCAGAGGGCCTAACGTGTAGATCTGTATCTCAGGTCTTTTAAAACTGAATCCAGTTCTGGCCAGTTCATCACCCAGCTGTACAGCCTCCTCTGGAAGAAGCTTTCAAGTTGGGGACAGTGGCTCACTGGATGATGTCACTGACAGATGCACCTTTGAGAATAAAATGTCCTAAGATTCCTTTCTTGTTCCTGTTTAGAAAGGTCCTCTAGGTGTCCCATATCTGCTCTCACCCTGCTGTGGGCAGCCAGACCCTGTGTTGGGTGGCCCTGTGTGTCCTGGTGGCAGTGAGTTCTTAGAATATTTAGCTTCCTCCTGCTGAACTTCCTTTTTAATAACTCCCTATATTTTACATTCCTGTCACCCAGTTCTCTTTCTTTACAGAGCTCACAGATGCTAGGGTCAACCAGACACCCAGGCAAAGTGACAGGGAGGGGACAACCAGTAACGCTGAGATGTGAGCCCACATCAGGACATACCTATATTTTCTGGCCCAGACTGTGGGGCAGGGGTTGTTGTTGCTCATTTATTTCATAAGCAGATCTGTCCTAGATGATAACGGAAGGCCCACGGACGGATTCTCAGCTGCCATGCTCAATGCCTCCTCCTCCACTGTCAGGATCCAGTCCACAGAACGCAAGGACTCAGCGCTGTACCTCTGTGCCAGCAGCCCAGCCACAGAGCTGCAGAAACCCTGTGCTTCCCCTTCTCCCTCCAGCCCCAGCAGCCGTGAATGAAGTCATCCCTGCTCCTCCCTCCACTTTAGATCTCTACCAACTTGGGGTGTGAAGAACACAGAAAATGATAAGCTATCAACACTGGAAATCTTGGTAGAAAATAACATTTAGGTTATGTGTTTCAAGATTCCTCAAAATTTTTTTGTGAGCTCAAACTCACTGGTCAGGGAAAACTTAAGGACCCACAGGGTAGACCAAAAACAGTTTTCCAGCTTTTTTACCCCAGGTGGGTGTGGGAGCCCAATAAGGGCTGACCTGCCACCTTACCTGCCTCTCCATAATGTTCTCCTCCTAAGGTATAACAGATCCTTTCCCCCATGAGTTATCGTTATTGTAAAGGAAAGTTCTTAACTAAGATTTTGAACATTTTTATTTCTTGTTTCTAATTGGAATTAATATTTTTGTAGAGTCTTTTAAAGGCACTTGGTAAAATGGACAATTTATCTGTGAGCTACCCATCCTAGACTGAAGGATCTATTTGTCTCTGTCCCACATGAGCAAGGCCCAGTGCCAGCTGAAGGCTACTGTGGACTCTGAATCCTGAGAATGTTCTCTGATGGTGTGCGGCCTGCTCTGGAACATTCATGTGGAGTCGTACTAGAACTTCCCAGATCCTGCAGGTCTCTCCTGTCTTACTTTGCCTCCTTTCCACCAGATCCAGTGTTCTTCACACAAATCTGCATGCTTCTTCTGATCTGTGCCAGCAATGTCTCCTTAGCGTCTGCCATCTCCTGGAAATGATGTCAGTTCTTCTCTTCTAGGATCTTATTTCTATACCCATGGCTTCTCAAACCCAACCAGGTTATCCTTGTGTACTGGTGCCAAGGATACCTGTGTCCAAGTCGCCAAGACAAATCGGGTTTACCAGAGGTCTGCCACATAGCCATAGCCATGTTACATTTTTCAGGCTCTGGATTTCAGTGTAAAAACAATGCAGAATGAAGTATAGTGGATTTGGAACGTGCATCGAGAGACATCCTGTTTGTATCTGTTCTTCCTTCTGGCTCCTCTCTACTGCTGCCAGACCACTTTGCTCCCTCCTGCCTTAATGCCCCACCCATTTGCATGTGTGACATTGCAATGTCACCTTTCACAGTTGCATTCTATTGTTTTGTGCTCTTACCTTCAGCTCTGTCTTCTCATTCAGCCCTACTGCCACTGCTGGCCCTGCCACCACTCTTGGTGTCTGTAACCTCACGTGGACAATTTATACACACGTTGACTCTTCTGTTTCCTGACCTCTTCCCTTCTGAGGACTTGCTTCTCTCCCAAGATAATTATCAGCTGAATGAATGAAGGAATGAATCTTTCTCTCTCTTAGCCTTAAGATTCCCTCGGTGGGGACACTGACATTTTTACACTGATAATAATTAGGTATTTGACATGGAAGCTAATAAATTCATAGGTTTTGCATAAATCAAGGAATAAATAGACTTAAAGAAACAAATGCAAATCAAGTGCTTGGAGCTGCTGTTCTATAACACGTGGCAAAATCTGTGTTCCATCAGGGTAGCTCGAAGGCGATGTCATCAAGCACCACCCTTGTCATCAGGTGCAGCAGGTGCTTTGACCTCTTTCCCACCAAGCCTCCCTGTTCTCCTGCTTTGACTTTTCTATTGTTGCAAAAAGCCTTAATTTACTCTATTGACACAATGCAGCAATTTTCTTAAGATACACTTTCCAATTTTTGTACATCCAGCCGCTCTCCATTGATCACAGCACAAAAGTCTCAATTTGGGGATTTGAATTTTTAAGCTTGTACTATGTGATGCTTCATAACATTTAGGGATCCAAATAGTCATCTCCTTACAAAATATTCTTATGCAATTTATTATCTCTGTGCATTTGCTCTTGTAATTTCTCCCACCTTCTACATCTTTCCAGTCCTTCCAATCCCTCAAGACTCTGGTCAAATGCTGTCTTCTCTATGAAATGGCACATGAGCTTACTTCTTCTTCATGAGTAACAGATACTCATTTTGTGAAGCACCTATCATGATCAGAATCATCCTCATCGATTAGCCTCTTTTTTACAAACATTTGAAGATCAGGCATTTTACTGGGCCCTGTTTTGTTTCAAATTTAAATATACATCACAGTGTTATCTGCAGTTCCTGCTTGGGAATCAGGACTTAGGAACTGTTTTAGGTGTCTATAAGTGACTCACATGTGGTCACTAGATTTTGCTTTCTCCAATTCTGCTCATTCTTGCACACATGGGTACAAAATACAATAATTTTGCTTCTAAAAATATAAATATAATTGTCTAATTGTTTCACCTGTAGAAAAGATGTTACTATAATCATGCATTAATAATATCCAATAGATGAATTTGTGATCTGTAGCAGGCCTATTAACATCTCCACTTGATCAATTTAAATGCAGAATATGTTTTTAGTGGGAGGAGGCTGCTGGTTTCTGGGTTCATAATGATACACAGAGCTGCACATTGGCTGGTACTGTTATCTGGACCTTTTTTGAGATCATGGGTAATTATCACCTCTCTGTTCATTGCTAGAAGTTTAAGAACACATGTATGGTCATATGTGCCATTGAGTCTTTCAGATGGTGAGAAGATACTCATTGAAAATCCTTCCCAGAGGAATTCTCATTGGAGAATTTTAATTTCCAGAATCCAAAGACAATCAGCACAATTATCACAAATCTTGAGGATGCTTATAGATGCTGTGCTTGGAACACGAATACAGAGTCACAGGGAATTTAAATCTGCTAAGAGATGAGACTCAACAGAGGTTGAAAGTTAAGCTTCCTTCTTTCCTTCAGGACAGGAAGAAAGGAAGAATATGTGTAATAGAAAGCCTTAGGTAGTTTGTTACATCCTGGGCTTTCCACTAGGTGCTTAAACCATTCAGTCAGTGCCATAATGCACAGGAAGGAACCTTAGCAGGGTGTGTATAATCTTCCCACTATCACTCAGCTGATAAATGGAGGAAAGGGGTCTCAAATATGAGAAATTTGTAACAAATGTATAAAAGCATTTGTAAAATCTCTGCCAACCCAAATGAAAATATTGAATCATTAAGGAAGAGAATTTCCTCAGTGCTACTATCTTGGAAGTCTTTGTGTTCCCATGTCACTGGAAAAGGGAAACTCAAGTTCAGGAAAACAGACCCTAAAGGGAAGAGGAAATGCATTCAGGGTGAACTGATCTCAAAGGAACTAGTAGAAAAGAGAGATTTAGTAGCCATTACTAAGGCACCCA